ACTCCTAAGATTAACATTAATGCCATGATTCTTCTTGGAGTTTCCACTAAAAACCTATATAGCATTTATCACGACTTAAACTATCCTTCTGCATAAATTGGTTAAACAGAGAGTTTTCAATGCTGTGGTGGATTGTTAGATAACCTTTGAGGTTGTCTCTATGTCTTTCTCTTCTTTTTCCAAAAATCTCTTTCCCTGCAACTTGCTTCTTTGCCAAATATACTGAATCAATGGTTCACTTGGGGAAGAAAGTCTTCTAGGCATCATTGTGCCCCATGATGCAGATGTTAAAAACTGCATAGCATGCAAAGGTAGCACCAACTCTTTCTCTTCCAAATCTAATCAAACGTTGTGCATATTACAGTTGTGTAATGTTCTCAGAAAAAAGAATGTTTGTCACTTCATTTAATGGTTCCCCACTGCTATTTGTGCCTTGCGGTGATTTAGTAAACATACAAGGCATACAAGATGTACGAGATGTATAGGAGTCCTAACATATGGTTATCCTTATGCAGTTAAACAGGGCTTTGACCTGGAGGAGTACAGCCTCTCACAGTCCACCCTGGAGCAGGTGGGTCAATTTCAGTGACTTTGCCTTACACAGATTAAATGCATTGTCTTCAAATTCAGTGTTATAAGAAGCAATATGTTCTATCTATCCATCTGTCTGTCTGTCTGTCTGTCTACATACCTAGCTAGCTAGCTAGCTATCTGTCTGTCTTTTCCAGGTCTTCCTGGAGCTCTCCAAGGAGCAGGAGCTGGATTGTTTTGAAGAGGAACTTGATCCCTCAGTGCAGTGGAAGCTACTCCCACAGGAAGAGGCTTAATACTGAAATTATTAGTTATGGATGTTTTCTCCTCTAGCAGCTTAACGTCTTTATTGCAAATATCCATTGCTGATGAATAAATAATTTGACCATGGAGACAGATGCTGCTGATTAGGCAATGAATGTGAAGCTCTTATGAATGGGAGTAGATGGGATCAGTGATCATAAAAAGAGCCATTGGTCTAGCTCATTCTCTACAAATTTTCTTTATATTGTCATCATTTTAACACACATTAATTATATGCATTAATGGGTTTCACTCTAACATTTTGGTACACGTATATATTGTGCATAAAGGCACCCATCCTCTTTTCTGCCCTCTCCCACCATCCTTCCCTCAGCCCCTTTCATAATCCTTTATGTCCTTCTGCTCTCGGATATTTTGATTTGTGTACTTCTACATGTAAGAGAAAACATGCACTTCTTGACTTTGTATCTGGCTTATTTGGCTCAACCCGATGCACTCTAATTCCATGTATTTTCCTTCAAATAACAGGGTTTTCTTCTTTATTACAGGTAAATGAGATTTCAGTGTGTAGATACTTTTGCTTTATACTTTCATTTGTTGATGGGTCTCTAGGCTGATTCTATATCTTATATATTGTGAATAGTATCAAAATAAACATGAATAAGCATCAATTATTTTTTAATGTTGACTCACTTATTTTAGACATACATATAAGATTAGAATAAGTAGATCCAATGATAAGGATATTTTTGGTTTGGGGGAATTACTATATTGGTTTTCAGAGTGGCTTTATTATGAATATACATTCCCACCAATACTGTATAATTACTGCTTTTTCTCTACATTTTTATCAGCAACTTTAAAAATCTAATAATAACTATTCCAACTAGTATGAAATAGATTCTCATTGAAGCTTTGATTTTTTTATTTCCCATAAGACAAGAATTGATTTTTAATATATTTTTTAGCCACTTCTATTTCTTCTCCTGAGAAATGGCTATGCAGATTCTTTGCTTATTTGATTGGATTACTTTTAGGTTAGATGCACTTTTTAGTTCTTCATATATCAAGGATATTAAGCTTACAACAGATGAAGAGCTGGCAAATACTTTCTCCCACTCTGCTTTGATGACTCATTATTCTGTATAAAACCCTGCGCTCGTTTGTTTTTGTCAGCTTGACACAAACCAAGACGCATCTGGGAAGAAGGAATCTTAATTGAGAAAAATGCTTCCACAACATTAGCTTGCATGTAACCTGTCAGAGCAAAAGAATGGCGCATGGTGAACTGTGAAAGAGGTTTCAGGAGAAAGGGCAGAGGGCCTTTTACCTCAGGCGCATTTTGTTCCCTGGGCTGTTCTTGGAAGCGTAGCATGCCTCCTGTGACAAACACTTACATTCAGTTTATAAGGCATGTTTGTTCTGCATGTCAGAAGCCAGACTGGTGGAAGGACATGCTGAGCGCTGTCCTCGGTGTAGCCTGAATCTGGATGTGGCCTTCTGCCTTGCTCTCCTGCTGTGATGGTTGTGATCTGGAATTGTGACCTAAAATAAATCATTTCTCCCCTAAGTTGCTTTTGGTCATGATATTCTATCACAGCAACAGAAATGAAACTAGGTTAATTGCATTACATCCATAAAATAATCCTCATTTGTTAAGGACCTTTTTTTTAACCTAGTGTGTTTAATAAAAGGCCAAATAGTCAATTACTTTGATGCATTGTTCAAATCTCCAATGCCCTTACTGATACTTTTATCCACTATTTTTTTATCAATTACAGGGAAATAAAAAATTTTAAGCACATATTTGTTTATTGCCTCTTTAAGTTATTTTACTTTTTCTCATTCATGAATTGTGGAGCTATAGCATCAAACCTAAGCACAGTTGTGTTTTTAATATCTTTAAATGAATTAACCTCATACAGCTGAAGATATTATCTCTTAGAGTAACTCTGGCCCCCAAATTTACTTCCTGTAAATTCACATAGGCTCTCAAGTCTTCCTCTCAAGTGATGACTGTTCATCTGAAACATCTTTTCCTAGTTATTTTAGCTCACATCTGAATCTTTAAGTTTAAAGTAGGGTTTTTTCCCATTTCATTTTTTATCATTTGTGTTGCTGTTGATAACACATATTTATATCACACCTCCCTAAAATTAAATCTATGAATCAACCTTATGATTAGAGTACTTGAATTGCTCATAGCATAATTATTGAAATGATTGAAGAACCTACCCTATGCATGCTTTTCACTTCCCATAAACTTAATTCTTCTTTTTTTTTCTCTACTCCTACCTTCTTTCTAACTAATTGCATATCTTGGGATTTCATTTCGTGTATAACATGTTTTTAACTGCATTTCTAGTCCCATATTTATTTTGTGTTTACCTAGGGCTAAACTGATATGGTCAGTGTTTACTTTGTGCCAAATTCTCTCAGATGTGTTTGTTTTTCCAAAAAGTGCTCTATTTTGTCTTCAGTTTAGAATCTATTGTTGCTTAGCGAGAGGCCTACGTAGACCTTTGTATATGCTGAAGAGCTTATTCTGTTATCTGTTAGCTTGCATGGTTTCTGAGAAGATTGATCTGGTTTTCATATAATTGTTATAGAAACAGTAATCTAAAGCCGGGAGGTATCTCAGTATAGTGCTTGACACATGCAAGCTGTGGACTCTCTCTCTCTCTCTCTCTCTCTCTCTCTCTCTCTCTCTCTCTCTCTCTCTCTCTCACACACACACACACACACACACACACACACACACAGAAATCAATGATCTAAGTCAATCTGCTACATCCTCTCCAAAGTCACAGATACACAGTTAGCTTCTGTTTGAAGCTCATGGGTCTGTTGAAAATTTGCAAAAGGACATGAAATGCAAAGCCAAATTGCTTAATCCCCTATAAATTATCTATACAGAGGAAAACAAAGAATCAAAAAATGAATTAGAGTGATATACGTGAATATAATTTCAAAAACTTCAACTGTTGCAATGATTATTAAAGTTGGAGAGAAGACATGTGATTAGATGAGGCTGTTTCCTAAACTGATCCAAAGGCTCTCCTGGGAGACATCACCAAAAATCATCATTGAGAGTCAGCATGTGTTGAAAAGGTAATTTGTTTCAGGACTGTCTAAACAGAAGCTCTTTGCTGGAGAACAGGAAGTTCATTTCTGCCTGAATTGTGATATAACCATAATATATAGGATTAATGTTGACCACAGAGATCAAATTGTCATTTGGTTACTGCCTTAGTTAGGGTTGCTGCAATGAAGCACCATGACGAAAAAGAAACTTGGGAAGGAAGGAGTTTACTTACACTTATACTTCTGCACTGTTGTTAATTACCTAAGGAAGTCAGGACAAGAACTCAAACAGGGCAGGATCCTGGAGGCAGGAGCTGATTACTGGCTTGTTTCTCCTGGCTTGCTCAGCCTGCTTTCCTTCTTTTTTTTTGTTTTGTTTTTTGTTTGTTTGTTTGTTTGTTTGTTTTATGAGACAGGGTTTCTCTGTATTGTTTTGGAGGCTGTCGGTCCAGCCCGGCCTCGAACTCACAGAGATCCGCTTGCCTCTGCCTCCCGAGTGCTGGGATTAAAGGCCTGTGCCACCACCTCCCAGCTCTTCAGCCTGCTTTCTTATAGAGCCCAGGACCACCAACCCAGGGATGGCAACACTCACCATGGGCTGGGTGCTCCCCCATTGATCACTAATCAAGAAAATACCTTACTGCTGAATCTCATGGAGATATTTCCTCAACTAGGCTCCTTCCTCTCTGATGACTCTAGCTTGTGTCAAGTTGACCCAAAACCAGCCAGTACAATTACTTTGCAAGGAACTTATCTGAACATGTGGCGGGCTTGTAAATGCAGTAAATAATTGATTGGGAATTAGTGGAACCCACGCCATAATGTAAATTATAATCAACTTTGTTAGTTGTCTGGGCTATTGATTTACCACCCACCTGATAAAGCAGTTTATAACAACTCATAACCACTGTGGCCAAGAGAATAGCCATTTTTATGTGTCTTTTCCTGAAGTCTTTATTTTTTCCAAGCTATTACAGACCCTTACTTGGAATCTGTATGCATTCTCTGAGAATTATTTTTCTCCAGTAGAAATTAGAGGGTGCTCTGTGGCTGGTGGATCAGAGGTAAGCAAAGAATAGAATTAGGTGAAAATAAACACATCACTCAAAGCAGTTTTGTACTGTTCTCTTTATTATTCATCTTCAGTCATGAAAGTCCATATCCCAACTCTGTTGAACCTTGTTTACATGGTCCAGCTTGCTCAACCATTTTGTATTTCTACAGTGTCTTCGAATTTTCTTGGAAAGTGTCTAGAGATGTTTATGTAGATCAGAGGTTCTCAATCTGTGGGTCATGAGCCTTTTGACAAACTTCTGTCTCCAAAAAATATTTACATTATGATTCATGTGGTCAGTAGTTGGCCTCTCTCCTTTGAGATTTTAAGGTTCCCGCTATATCTGGACTGCATCATTTCCAAGCTCATCTAGAAAATCAGAAAGGGAAAATGAAAGAGAAATCCATCCATTATTTTAGATTAAAACTCATGAATTCTAGGTCTATTGGCCACAAGGCCAATAGGGGAGAGATGGAGTGACAGAAAGTTATAGTGGTCCATGAGCACAAATGGAGACAGCCCTTGAGGAGACAGATGTCAGTGAATCCACTCAATTTTATTCCAGAGTATAAGAAATATATAGTATTTGAAAGTCCGGTGACAAACTCTAATTTGCATTAAATGATGTGCTCCTATCACAAGGCAGTAGGGTCATATAGCAGAGCCAAGCCCCTAGTACAAGTCTTCTCAGCAGGGATCTATGCCAAAGATCAAGCTAAAGATAAATCAGGCATCTGGTTTAGAGATAGTTTTCAGAAAAGGCCAACCCTCCAGATAATGGCAGGAACATTCTCCAGATAATGGGAGGTAGAGAGCAGAAAGCTTTGTTGAAGGGAGGGAGCTCCATGTTGCCCAGCTATTGAGATACCTGCTAGGCATGGGGAGGTTGCTACCTCTGACCAGCCAGCAATGCCTTCCAGCAATACAAATAGCAAGTATTTCTCCTGTTTATATTCTACTGATTAAACAGAATTCCTTTGTCATTGTGAATGGAGAATTGTTCGGGATTAGACTAAAGTTAGTAAGAAGACTTGGTGAAGAGTTGGCAGATTCTGACACATGAGGAAAGGTGTTAGGACAGTCAAGACTGTAAAGAGACTAGGCACGACATCTTCCCTGATAATTGGGAACATTTTCTGTGAAGGTCCATAACTGTGTTGCATATAACAAATGCTATAGAGAGGCTAATTGGAAAGATGGAGTAGTTAAAAGCATTTACACATGTATATATATATATATATACATATATATATATATATACGTTTGTGATGGAGCTGTTTGCTTTATAGACATAAAAGAAAGAGTTTTCCAGCAATATCTTAGGTCCTACTGTTTTACACCTTATGCACACCAAAATTACATACCCAAGGTAAAAATGATAAAACAAAATAAAACAAAACCCCCTAAAAATTAAGATCGCTGAAGAAAATGAAGGAGCTTGTACATATAATTTTCAAAGCATGGATACGCTTTCTTTTTTCTAAATAAAATTTTATCTGTGTATATGTGTAATTGCTTCTCTGTATGTACACCATGTGCATGCAGATGCTTACAGGGACCAGAAAAGGGGGCTATATCTCTCAGAATTGAAATTTCAGGTGATCATAAGCTGCCCAGTGTGAATTCTGGGAGCTGAATCTGGGTCCTCTGTAAGAGCAGCAAGTACTCTTAAACTACTGATCTATGTCTTCAGCCCCAGAAGTACTTTCTGCATAAGAAATACACACAAACTATAAGGTTGGGGAAGTTGTTAAAGTTGACTAAAACTATACCAAAATTTGGATATGCTAAAGATCTGACTTAACAGCTGAGTCTCTGTTAAATGAAAAAGAACTCCTATAGACAAATATAACAAACAAATCAATGAACATGCCAAACTTTTACAGAATGTATGAATAAGATTGTTGCCTGTATAGAATATAATGCAGCATAAATCTAAACAATAGGATGTCCTCTGCACACATCCAGATTAGCGAGCCTACATTTGTTTAGACTTGGTGTGGGTCTAAGGAGCTAAAGATTTTCTTTCCCCCACTGTTTCTCTTCCATCCTTAACTCTCTCTCTCTCTCTCTCTCTCTCTCTCTCTCTCTCTCTCTCTCTCTCTCTCTCTCTCTCTCTCTCTCTCTCTTTCTCTCTTTCTCTCTCTCTCCCCCTCTGTGTGTGTGTGTGTCAGAAGTATGGAGGATGGGGCACTTGAATATACATGTAGAGGTTAGAGGTCAACATCAGTCACCTCCCTTGAGCAATCTCACCTTATTTTTTATTATCTGGAGCTCATTGTTTTGGGTAGGTTGGCTAGCCAACATCCTCTGGGATCTATGTGTTTCTTCATCCCCACTGTCTGCCTGATTGGGTATAAATGTGCACTGCCTTGCTTGACTTTTGTGTGGGTGCTAAGTTGTACTAAGTAATAAAAATATGACTACATTTGTACAAGGGTAAAAGAACAGAAAAAACAAAACATGTTAATGTGGGAAACACATGAGAGGAGGAAAATGATGGATAAAATAATTAGGCACATGGAAAGCTATTATTCTATTTCCTTACACAAATGGCTGTAAAAGAATGCTATGATTTCTCACCATCAGAAGTGGATCCAGCTGTATCTCTAAGGGATTAATCTCATCTGTCCAGCATGTTTCACAATCTGTGAGGACCTGAAAGTGTTGCAGCTGCTGAAGACCCCTGGGACCGAAGGATGCATCTGTGAGGGATATCCTGCAGGCCAGAAAGGAAGTGAAAAGTAATCTTTGTAGATAGGTAAGAAAACATCTCTATAACGCTGGCCTTGTATCAAGACAAACTTGATTTTCCTGTTAAAAATAAAAAGAGTATAAATGCTTGCAAATGAGAACCTTAAATTCATTTGTCTTATTTCCCAAACAATCATGAAGACAGCGTCTACTAACAGCAATGTGAGTTGAGATAATTCCCTTCACATAGACCCAGTGCAAAACTAGATAAAATTGTTCAAATGAATAAAGAAGGATCATCATGAGGTGATGATGGAAAGACCTGAAAAGATACTGACTAGTAACCATTTCCTTGATAAAATGGTTTCTGTGGTTGAACAACATCAGGTGCCTGGTGCTCCTGTCTGAAGTGTTCTCGTCTCCCCACCCCACCCCCAAACACACACACACACACTCACTACAACTGGAGAGGCTCTTATAAGACTTGCCTAGGAGAAGAGCCTTAACACTCAGATTGGAGCTGGCAACAAAGACCCACAGCTCAGCCACTGATGGGAGGGGACTTGGCAGGCCAGTGTATAGAGTAGGTGGAAATCTAATTGAGATAGTCTAAACATTGAGAGGTCATAGAAACTATAATCTTTTCCACACACAAAACTGTGATTATGCTTGACTCTGAAATGGCCTTCCTGGACTCATATTTTGAGTACTTGGACCCCAGAAGACAGCTATTTTGAAGCCTGTGTATCACCTTAAGAAGTGTGATCTACCCAGCAGCAGCATGTCACCAAGGCGGGCCTTTAATGGTTATACCTGAGCCTGGTCCTACATTGTTTTCCATCCACATGTGTAAATAGAATCTGGTAAAGGCTTTCTCTGCCATCATGCCTTCCCTTCCTTGATGGACTGAGCTCTCTACCTAACCCAGAAGCCAAAATAAACACTTCCTCCCAAAATTGTCCCTGTCATACAGTACAACCTTTTAGTAAAAGTGACTAAAAGTCCTATCTATAAATCTATGAATTCATGGAGACACCAGTGACAGCTGGAAAAGTATGGAAGTTGAGGGATGTGAAGCAGAGCCCTTCCTCAGCTTATCCATGGGCCAGGCAGCAGCTGGAGAAGGCCTTGCATGCCTGAAGTGTCTGGAATATAATCTCTCTTCAAAGTGAAAGATGCTGGAGGAAACTGTAAGGAGTCGATCTCAACTTCAATGTCTGCTCTACCTACCCAGGGAGCCATTGTCATTTATCCATGTGGCTCAGGGGCACTTGGAGATATGGGAAAGAAACACTTATAAAACAGGTTATATTCGTATTGGAAGATAAAGGAAGGATAGTGATGGGCAAGCCCATAAACCATATGGCCAATGAAGACACGGGACAAAGCAAGACAAGGTTCTCATTCCACGGGGAGCAAACTGGAGTAGCATGCAGAATGAAAATGTACCCACACCAAAGGGAAAAACTCAGGAGTGTTTAAACTGAACGGTTCCTGGAGGGAGATGTACACAAGCAAGGGTCAGTGGGTGCATATGGCTTCTCTGCCTCCCTGGCTGGCTTTTAATCAAAATAGTGCTATTCCTAGAGAAAGGGCATGGATCAAACTAATTTACACCATTATAGCTGATATCTTTTCTCTCCTCTCTCTGATGTGATGAGCAAGTCCATCCACATAGTGACCGGTGCATTTGTGCTACCACCAGCAACTCAGGAGGATTTCCACTCCCAACCCAATGCCTCCTGGGACCGCTTTGTAGACGCTTTAAACATCTTAATGGAAATCATAGAAGTTACATCTAGCTGATGTGAAAGGTTCTAATATAAAGGTATTTGGGGAGTTCACAGAAATTCTAGAAAAGCTAAAGAATCAGCTTAGAAACCAGAAGTGAGGTAGTAGTAGAACATATCTGCCCTCATAGATAGTCTTGAGGATCACAATGTCACCACCATTACTACAAAATCATGGATGACAATAATACCGAATTCTCAGTATGGTTGGTCAACAGTGCTGCAATGAATTTGTCTCTTCTTTGCATCCATCTTTGATTGCCTTCCCTAGGTCCAAAGGTTCAAGCAGGAACATAAGAGTTGAGTGTCTCTGCCTGGCCCAGGTTCCCAGGGGAATGCAAGAAGGAACATTCAGTTTCTGTAGTGTGCAGCTACTTCTGCCTTCTACCAAGGCTTAAAATATATACACTGCTCAACAGCAGTATCAAAGAATTGAGTCAGCTTAAAAAGGCTTACATGGTGCTTCAGAGTGGGAGTAAGTCTCGGGTTTTGAACACAGAAAGCATCAGAGAATGAGAAAGATGACTCATCGTGAAAGAGATGTAGTGCCTTAAAAGACAGCTTCTCAGGAGAGAACATCTGGGTAAGAGTGACTCTGGATGGGTTTGTGAGAGGACAAACAGAACATCAGATTTATTGCAGTGCTTTTTTGTTCCATCCCTTGGGGACAGTGCACTTGGAAGTTGATTATTAGAGATCCTTATACATGTCTTGATAGTCATCAATTATCATGTCTTAAATATTTGAAATATTCAGACTTCACACAAGAATTTTTTTCCATACCCAAATAAAACATTCTAGAGCAAAACAAATCCAGAGACTTCACAAGATTAATAGTCTTTGTGTTTTCCCAGAATAGTCTATGTTCATGAGCTGACCAATTGGAGATCAGTTGGCCATATCTACTTGTATTAGTTTTGATCAATTTGTTTGTTGTTTTTGAAATATCCCATCACTTCAAATATCTTCCTGGAACTGACCTGGCTGGTGTCCACCTTCTTCTCATCCCGGGTGGCCTCCTACATGACTGCAGTCTCCAGAATGGCCAACACTTGTATTGGACCCCAGGTTCCCTTGGAGCCATATTCTGGGAGCTTTTAACTGTTTTCCACACATCTAAATTGGCCAAATCCATGCATTTTTTGCCAAACATCAAGCACTTACTCCAATAAAAAATATTTTGCAACTTGGTTAATTTACCAAATGATACTTTCAAAGTCAAGAGAGAAACCTAAAGTGCCACAAACAAGGTCAATATTGAGGAAAATTTAAATAAAATATTCATAGCACCCTTTGCTTTGGATTTCTTGTTTGGGACCTTGCAGTTGGCGCCATGAGAAAGCACAAATACTTTAATTGATGGCCGTTACAAATCATGAGAATAGCCCTGGTCTAAAGGACTAAGAATTTTTGATAAATGCTCAGAGAAAAGCAAAACACCTGGGCTCTTACATAAACCACCATTGAAAAGGAAATTAAAACAAAGAGCAACTACTTTGGCCTGTAATGGGCTATTTTTCACCACCCTGTCCTGGATGACCTGGAGAAGCTTGCCCCAGCATACGCAGGGTTTTTAATTGAGCAGGAGAATAATGGAGCCTCACAGTGTTTTCACTGTTACCCTAATTACTAAAAAGAGTCTTTATGTAAAATCTTCAGAGAATAGAAAGAAGGAAAATAAGAATTGTGCAAGCTTGCATCCCACCCAAAGATCTCCCCAATGAAGTCACGTGAAAGAACGAAGTGTGTATAGATAAGCAGTCAATGGCTGCACATAGCAAAATTCTCTCTTAACACTTCTTTCTTAATAACCTCGATATGACTCAAAAAAGAGAAGACTTGGGAAGCCTGATACTCTATTCATGAAAATAACATCATATATCACATTCATACACATGCAAATATGCATATTTGTGTACATATGAATGAATTTATAATGTATTCTTATTTATGTAAAGAATAAATATATGTAGTGAGAAAATAAGAATAAAGAAATATAGACATTTCAGTGGGTATACGTGTTCATATATGTGCACATGTGTGTGCAGCTGCCCACACAAGTGTGAGAGCATGCAAGTGGAGGCCAAAGGCTGGTGTGATTATCTTCCTCAATGGTTCCCCACTTTGTTCTATTTATTTATTTATTTATTCATTCATTTTTGGTTTTTCGAGACAGGGTTTCTCTGTGTAGCTTTATGATCTGTCCTGGCACTTGCTCTATAGACCAGGCTGACCTCAAACTCACGTAGAACCGCCTGTTTCTGCCTCCCAAGTGCTGGGATTAAAGGTGTGCACCATCACCGCCTGGCTTCCCCACTTTCTTTCTTGAGGTCTACCACTGAACTTGGAGCTCACCTATTGGGCTACACCAACTGGCCAGGAATCTTCAGACATCCCCTTGCCTCCATCCAGCACCACTAAGATTCAGGTGCTCGCCACAGAGCCCAGCTTTTTTCATATGGCTGCTGTGAGTCTGAACTCAAATCCTCATGCACTTTACTGACTAAGCAGTGTTCCCTGCGCTGTGTGTGTGTGTGTGTGTGTGTGTGTGTGTGTGTGTGTGTGTGTGTGTGTGTGTGTTTATAGGGTTTGTGTCTGTTGTGTTGGGGGCACGGTATACACATTCGTTGTGTGCATGGGTGCTTCTATGTGTATGTATACAATAAAAATAAAATTTAGAGAATTTCATATTTTATTAAGAATTTCACTCCTTTCCTCCAATACCATTCTCCTTCAAAGAAAATTAATTTATTAATTAACTGATAACAGAACTATCAACAAGAACTATTAAATGGGCCAAATAGGCCTCAAAATGAGCTTTACTTAGAGCACAATACATACTCAATAAAGACTACATATATTCCACTTGTCACACACTGCCTGGACATTTAGAATAAGGCAGACATTTGCAATAATTAACATAATAATCAGAAGGAGTGAGTTTCAAAACTCATAGGTCGAGCCTGGGTCTATGGAGAGGAGATCCTTGCAAGTTTTTCCTTGTACTTGTTTTTTGGTTCTATTTTGGTTTTTCTGGCTGATTTAGGTGAAGCATGAGAAACCCAGTGAGACCCGAGCACAAAGTCCCTCAACTCAGGGACCCGCACAATGGAAAAGCAACTGACAAATGAACCACCAAGCAGTTGTCATTCATCTTCTGTTGATGATCCTGTGGACTTTTCTAGCAGTTCTTGAATAACTGTAAAAAAAAAAGTGAAAATGATCATTCCCTTACTCTTGAATTATTCTTATAACAATTTAGCACACAATTCCAAAATTCTAGTTCTACCAGTCAGAAAAACACACACATGAGTTCTTCTCACATCTGCTGTTGAGGGCTTTGGTTTCTTCATTTTTTTTAATTACTTACTTAAATGCCAAAATTTCATCTGCCAGAGTTTCATCTGACCAATATTAGTGAGTCCAAACTTAAAGAACATATAAACCAAATAGATGGATGCAAACCAAAAAAGAGAGCCTTCTTAGAAGAAGCTGGTGCTTAGCTATTTAAAATGTTCATTTAATTTCATTTTGCCAGAAAATTGCAGTTATTTAAAACACGTACAGATCGCTAACTAACCATATGGTAAGTGAGTTCATTGCAGTGCCTGCATAAGAAGCATACACATAACAAAAGCAGATTAACAATTATTTGATGACCCTGATGGGCACTGCGGTGAGTG